CAGTGAAGCATAGAGATGTGTGGAAAGGAAAGGGATGAGCAAAGGCAGGGCCATTCCCGAGGCCACTTTGGGCAGCAGCTCAAGGTTCAGCCTCAGTTCAAAGCATCCTCCCTAGGGCAAGGAGCTGCTTCAGAGAGTGAGGGCTTGGAGGGAGACACAGAGTTGCAGCTGCAGGCAGGACTTCAGCTGTGTGACTTCCAGTTTATTCCACCCTGGCAGAAAGCAACGGCCTCAGAAATGGGCAGCTGCAGGCACTGGACTGGGGCAGCAGTGCCTGGCCGAGAGCAGGAGCTCCTGGAGTTACAGCAGGGGGAAGCACCTCACCACAGTTGTGAGCTGGACCTGGGCTGAAGAAAGGGAGTGAAGGTCCTTCATTGGAGGAGAGGTCTGTACCCTCAGGGTCCAGCTCTCGTGCTCAAACTGGCACTGTCAGAGCTTACCTGGTACCCCAATGTGTGGGTGCAGGTGTTTGCTATCCAGGACACCTCCCACTCCCCAGTACTGACATCAGTGGCCAGCGTGTCAGTCCAAGGCCTTGTGGAGGTAGAAAAATGTGTCATATCCATTGACTGCTGTGCTCCAACCAAAGCATGTGTGCAGCCCATACACCAGGGCCTCCCCAGCTTCCCTCAGGTATGAATGGTTTTGGTTTTCATGAGGTCTTTGCCTTGTCTCATTCCAAGAGGGAATGTAGAGGTCTTTGCCTTATGACCAGCACTCACTGAAATCTCCATCACATTCTGAAGCAGAAGAGACTTTCACTTCCTCCCGGAGTCTGAGCAGGCCAGCAGGAATGGAGGATAAATCCCAGTGAGACCCCTGCCCAGCAATAGGAGCAGCCTGAGGGTCCCTCTACACCAAATTCATAGTGCAGGCAGAGCAAAGTGGTGAAGGGACAGCAGAGCACTGAGGCAGGGACAGGCAGTGGTGGAATGGCAACCTCTCTGCTTGCCTGGCCAGGTAGCTGCTGCCTGCTCCCCTGACTGCCTGCAAACACTGTTTACAGAGCTGGGACAAAACTCTCACCTACAAACTCCTTCTTGGCCTTTTCTACAGTAAAATGCCTCATTATTTTCTCCAGCTTATGTTCCTGTGCAAGAACAACAAAACACAGTTGTTGCTGCAGGCCCCAGGAAAAATCACAGAGCCACAGTACAGCATCCGGCAGCTGCCCTGCCCTGCCTGATGACTCCAGGGAGCTTATTCACAGCAGCTGGGGACCCTGGATCGAAAAAAAGAGATATGTGAACTCCTGCTCCCTTTGCTCACTGCCCTTCCAAGCTCTTGATGATTTACCCCTTCCCCCAGCACAGCAGGCAGTGGCGGGAGCATCCCTACACCAGGCTCCTTCAGCTTGTCTCCGGCCAGATGCACCGACCCATAAACCAGAGTTCACCCCCCTCTCCCCACCCTGAGCTGCTTTTCACAGTCTCTGGGCGAGTGTTACTCACTACAAATGTCTCCCCCCACTCGTCAGAGCGCATCGCTGTGATACACACGGAGAGGGAGGGCTGTGCAAATGGAGCGTGAGTTATGGGCTGTCGGCAGGGAAACGGGAGGAGTGAACTCACCGAGTATTTCCTTGGATTGATCCTCACACCCACCATGGCAACACCAAAAGGAACATCTGGAAAAGACTGGGTAAGGCAGACAGATGTTCTCTGCCAGCTCACCCTCTCCCCAGAGGGAGGAAGTGACTCTGGCAGTTGTGACCTGGTTGGTGTCAAGGGGCCACGGCTTCTCCACACCACACATGGCTCCCCACTTATGCCATGCGGCCTCTGCAGAGTGGAGCTGAAGGCAGGACAGGAGATGCACCCTGAGTCTATCACAAATGCCACCAGCCAGAGCTGAATCCATGACAACCCAGGCACAGTGACTGCATCTGAGAGGCACAATGCTTGACACTTCCTGATTAACACGAACATTCCGGGCTGCCAGTGGCATGTTCTATAGCGAGACTTGCCCTCACACATCAGTGCCCAGAGAAACATCCTGCACTTCCAAAGCCCTTCTGATTTTCACAGCATCTAATGAGCTTTTCTGTCTCACAGCCCCATCCCAACGCCTAAGTCACCATGTGCTTTATGTTCCCCTTGTACTTACCCACTACGGTGCATTTTTGTGCTGTTAATACAGCCAGGGCTTTCACTTCATCAACATGGATTGATCTGCTAAAATGAACCCCTGGGAAAAGAAAGAGAAGTAGCGAAGAGCCCCTGCCTTTCTACCACAAAGGCACAGAGGCACTGTGGGAAAGGCTTTGACTCTTCTGAAGCAGCAGCATCTAATCACAACAGATGATTTCATTGATGATCAGAGAGCAGGAGCATCTCTACTATGGAGACAGACTGGGAGAGTAGGGGCTGTTCAGCCTGGAGAAGATTCCACAGAGACCTTAAAGGCCCTTCCAGTACCTAAAGGGGCTCCAAGAGAGCTGGAAAGGGACTTTGGACAAGGACATGGAGTGATAGAGGGAATGGCTTTAAACTGAAAGAGGTCAAGCTTGAATTGGATTTTAGGAAGAAATTCTTTACTGTAATGGGTGGTGAGGCACTGGAACAGGTTGCCCTGTGAAGTTGTGGCTGCCTCTTCCCTGGAAGTGTTCAAGGCAAGGTTGGATGGGGCTTAGAGTAACTCGGTCTAGTGGAAGGTGTCCCTGCCCTGTGACAGGGGGATTGAAATTGGATGATCTTAAAAGTGCCTTCCAACACAAACCATTCCATGATTCTTGGATTCTTTGTGTTGGTGCCTTCTCAAAGCTTTCTCTCATCCTGTGCTGAGAGGCTGGACGTGTAACTGGGCTGATGCCCACTCAGCTCTGGTTCATTGATGCCATGCTCAGACAGAGCTCATGCCTCTCAGTGGCACAGAGCAGCTGGCAGGGCTGGGCCTCCCTGCGCCTCTGTCTCTGCCTCTGCTCCCCAGTTGACCCTGGGGCCATACCCTGGCCTGTATCCAGGAGTATCCTGGATGATGTACTCGGTCACCACGCTGTGGTGTCCTGGACAAAGTGTCCTCTCACTCCACAGGGCTGAGGCAGGGCTGTGTTTTGGGGCATCTGGGACAGAGGATGCTGGCAGGGATCAGATACACCCCCCACCCCCCCCCAGCATGTCCACACTAAGGTGGCTTGGAAAATAGAGCTGGTTTTAGGGTGCTTAGTGCTTTTGGATCTCCAGGTGATGTCCCCATCATCACAAGGCACTTGCAGCTCTGGACATGCTGAGGGTCCTCCTGCTGGTGTCACGACCCACGGGATAGCATATAGCCAGAGCTGGAAGCCTGATGCTCCCAGGCATCCCCTGCCTCTGCCAATTGCCAGCACCCCACCAGCCCCATTAGCGGCACCTCTGCCCACCGATACTGCGGGCAGCCGTGTGTGAAGGTGACGTGGCCGAGGGAGACCCACCGCCTTCCCAGCAGGGCAGCGCGGGAGGAGTCACATTCCCAGCCGGACCCTGCCAGCTGCGTTCCACAGCTCCCTGGCACAACGTGGCACCGGGGAGCCGGGAGCGGCGGAGCCCAGCCCGGGCTGATCCATGTACGGGCGCGTGTGTCTGCTCGCTCCGGCGTGTGCGGGCGCCGGCGGCTGTGGGGGAGCCCGGTGTGCGTTCACGTGGCGCTGCCCGTGCGGCGTGGGAGGTGGGCCATGGCGCCCGGGGAGGGGGTGCCGTGCTACCTGCGCCAGCAACCCCCTCCGCCGAGGGAGAACGCGCTTTTCAGGCAGCTGCCTGGCTCCTCCCGAGCCGGCAGCGCGGGAGTGCGTTGCCAAGGCAATGGGGACCATCTTACTCATCCTCCTCGCTATTGTTCTCCTGCCAGCCCCGAAGTGCCCGGGCGGGAAGAGGAGGAGGAGGAGGCAGCCAGCCTGGGACGAAGGCTGCCTGTGGGGAGGGGAGGGTGCTCGCCACGACCACCCCCTCCCTCGCCCCCCGTGCCAGCCCTGGTGGGACGGGGACATTCTGGGTGGCAAGATGCCGATGGGGATGGGGAGAGCCGCTGCCGGTGGAGCTGAGAGCAGCAGGTAGAAGCAAATGGCAGCAGGATGCAACCCATCAGCCTCCTGCCTGCGGCAAAATCCCAGCCAGGGACCAGGGGTCGTTTGTCTCCTCCTCTGCCGGGACTTGCCCCAGTCCATGATGTCCCTTGGACGGGATAGGGTCTGGTCCTTGTGCTCAGGATTGGGTCTAATCCCACACAGGGCAGCACGGGATGTAAACCCATACCTATGCCCCACACCTCGTTTCCACTTTGCTGCAGGCGGGCAACTGGGCCCAGTCAACGCTACAGAACTGGGACCAGCACACAGGACCGAGAGTGGGGATAGAGGAGGGGATGCATTGGTGTGGTCATACACCCCCAACTCAGTCACTCCAGCCATCTATTGGGGTGCCCAGTGCTGACATGGAGGTGCCTCACTTTGCCCCAGGGAGAGAGAATTAAATTTATTTAATTTCCATATCCCGCCTCCCTATTTTTAGCCTTCGGGGTTTTGTTCCAGCCTGGCTGTTTACTGAAAGAAGCATTTCCAACCTCCCTTGTCTCCAAGCAACCAGGTGTGCCAGCTCCCCTAGAACCAGCCTTACCCTATAGATCTATAGGGCTGGGGGACAGGTGCTAACATTAACCACAGGATGGACAACTCCCTCTAGCCTTAGCACATGCCCCCCCCCCCGGCCCTATAGATCTATTGTTCCTGTCTGTGTTGACATCCTCGGGTCACCAAGGGGACCCTGATTCTATAGGGTGATGAGGGGCAGGGGGGAGGGGGGCTTGGGGGGGATGCTGGAGGGTTTTGGGGAGGATGTAGGGATGCAAGCGAGGCGAGCAGGCCAGCTTCCCCCCGGCAGCGCGAGCGGGAGTGCGTGGGAAGGAGTTAGACAAAGCCTGAGCCCGGGAGCAGAGGCAAGCGCTGCCGGGAGCGAGACGGGGCCGTTCTTCCCTCCCCATCCTCCCCCACCCTCGGGCGAGGGGTACGCGGGAACCCACCTCCATCCCGCTGCGGTGGCACGTTGTCCCGGTCCCTCAGGCTAGTTGAGGTGCAGCCCCCTCCCCGGTGATGCCCAGGAGGGAAGCGGCCGTCTCCATCACCAGGTAGGAGGGGGACTGTGTTCAGTGTCGCTGTGACCCCCACCCATGGGAGCTACGCTAAGGGTTGGGGACCCCCTGAACAAGCCGGTCCTGACCATATGTCCTGCTGTGCACGGGTGCAACGCGGGGTGCCGGGGTGCTCGCCCATGGGACACACTGGGTGTTGATGCTTTGGGTGCCGGGGGGGCGGGAGGGGCTGTGGGGCGATGGGGGGCTCCCAGGGCGGGCTGGTGGGGGTGACAGCGATGACACCGGGAGGGATGCCGTGTGCCGGGACCCCCATGCCCCCCGAGTCAACTGGCTGTCCCTCGCCTCCCCCCCGGCTGCCGGGGGCGCCGGGGCGGGCGGCAGCCGGGGGGGAGCGGCCCGGGGCACGGTACCGCCCCCGCCGCCGCCGCCCCACGCATGCTCGCCGCTGCCGCCGCCGCGCCGAGCCGAGCCGAGCCGAGCGGGACGGGACGGGACTGGACGGGACGGGACGGGACGGCACCGGGCGGGAGGATCCGCCGCAGGTACCGGTGGCCCCGGGGCGCACATGGCGGGGTCGGGCCGGGCGCTGCCGCCGCCCGTCCCAGGGCCGTAGCCCACCCCCGCCGGGGGTGCTGGTACGGGGTGGGCGGCGGCGGCGCGGACGGGTCGGCCTCCCCCAGCCGGGACTGCCGCGGGGGCGGCTTTGTGCGGGGCTCGGCCGGGGAAGCGGGGCCGGGGCGTGCACACGCGTGTCCGTGCGTGCGGGTGTGCCCGTGGCCATGTGCTGGCGTGTGCGTGCCCGTGCGTGTGCACACGCGTGTGCCGGGGGCTCGCAGCTCCTCTGCGGAGTATCAGTGGCGGGCACGGCGCCACAGCCCCGCGGGAGCGGGATGCTGTCGAGGCATCTCGGGGTGCGGGCGGCACGATCCTCTCGGGGATCGGGATGCTGAGTGGGAACATGCAGACGGGGCGGGGGTCGTCGCCTTCGGGCCCGGCTTTGCTGGGAGGGGTCTGTGCCTGCCTCGTTCCTGCTCCTGCCTGCCGCCTCCCTTTGTGGGGACTAGCTCGGCTCCATCGGAGTCCACTCGGCTCTACCCTCTCTGGGACCCGCGAGTGGCCATGTCCGGAGGAGTGGAATTGCCCCATGGCTGCGGAATGCATGTGCTCCCAGTTCCGCAGAGATTCACTGGCACTGGCAGAGCTGGAGGGCTCCCGGAAAGCTCGGGGCTTCCCGCCCTGCTTCTGTCCCCTGGGGCCAGGAAGGGTTAGGGGACAGTTGGATGAGACTGGATGAGTGTGTTTCCCTCATGTGTGGCACGGCCGGGAGCTCAGTCACCCTCGGCTTGGCGTGTGGATGCTGAGCTGGGGGTTACTGTGGCCGGGGACACATGTCACTCCCACCTTTGGGGACGCTGCTCGCTGCAAATGGAGGGAAGAACTTGGGCTGCCCCGTGCTTGTGCCCTGCCCTGTAGCCCCCCTCGGAACCCAGGCCCCCTGCTGCACCCAGCTCCCCACTGACAAATAGGGGCTGCCAAGTCCCCCTGGGCTCTCAACCTGGTGTCCAGGGCTGAACACCAGCTGCTGCTCTCTCCACAGGGGTGTCTGGACCGTGTCCCCCTCTCTGACAGCCACAGCAGCGCCTGGATCCTGCTCCTGGTCCAGCTGTGCTGGGAGAAGGCTGACTTTTACGGTAGGCAGCCAACACCATTCCTCCCTTCCCGTATGGCCAGGCACCGAGTGCCACCACACAGGCTGTGCCAGGGACAGCGAGTGCTCCGGGCGGCCGCCCAACCTGTTGTCATGGGCAGCAGGGAGAAAAACAGTCAGCAGTTGAGGTGGACTGGGGGTCCATGTACTGCTCCCTCCTCACTGCCCCATCCTCTCTCTTGCAGACCCACGGCAGGACTAGCATGGGAGAAGCCTTCCCTGGGCATGGGCAGCGCTAAGGAGCCCGAGGGGCTGCAGGTGCTGAGTTGCCAGGCTGGGGCTGAGGACACCTGTGACCCCAGTGCCACCTCCCCCGGCTGCTCAACGACGGGTGAGTGCCTGCCTGGCTCTGGTTGTGCTGTGGGAGCCCGTACCATGAGGACCTGCTGTGTGACTGAGTCAGAGGCTCAGGGCACCACGTCGGGCTCAGCAGCAGAGAAGAAGGTGCCATCGCCAACGGGACCAGCTCCCGGCACGCCCCTCCGGGACACCGGCACAGAGCAGAGCGTGGCAGTAGCAACGAGTTGTGGGGGACCAAGTGACACTGCCCCTGCCTGTGGTCCCACAGGGATGGGGGTCCCCAATGCCCAGAAGGAGAATGCAGCCCCCACTTCCCCCCTGCCCGATCCCTGCCTCAAGGTGACCAACAAGGACATTGGAAGTGCTCCGGCTCCTGCCAAACATGTCGCGTTTGTGGAGCCCACTGCAGGCACCGGGACAGCTGAGCTGCCAAGCCAGGAGCAGCCTCAGGGTGGCACAGGGACATCCCTGGGTGCTGTACCGCAGCTGAACAGCAGTGAGGCTCCCAAGCATCCCCAGGGAGGCACAGCAGCCCCCCCCAGCACCAGCACTGTGGGGAGCGGGGGCCAAAGTGGGACAGAAACGAGCTCCACCACCCTGGGCCAGGGCAAAGCCGAACAGAGCTCAGCCCAGGGTGCGGATGCTGGGAGCAACCAGAAGCCCCAAACAGCCAAGCAGCTCTGTGAGTCCTACTCCTTTGAGGTGACCCCACCACAGGATGCTGGGACACAGGACATGGGGACGCAAGTGGACAGCCGTGCGTCCCTGGTGTCAGTGGCCTTGAGCCCCATGAGCCCCCCGGGCGGGGCTGCTGCCTTCACCTTCCCCAAGAGAGAGATGGGCTCTGCAGCCCCACGCCTGGAGCCCTCCAAGAAGGATGCAGAGATGCAGGTGTCCATGCCCGTGGAGACGCGCTCAGTGGCCACTGGGCCAATGACACCAGTGGCCAAGTCTCCACAGACCTCGTATCCTGAGGTGCAGGTGAAGGGAACGGTGGTGGAGGTGGTGGAGGAGGCTCCGGAACCCATCCGGGAGGTGAGCTGGGATGAGAAGGGGATGACGTGGGAGGTGTACGGGGCCTCCATGGAGGTGGAGGTGCTGGGCATGGCCATCCAGAAGCACCTGGAGAAGCAGATCGAGGAGCACGGTCGGCAGGTGGTGGTGACCCCACAGAGCACCCGCACCGGCTCCGTCAAGGGAGGCCCCCGCAAAGGTGAGGCCAAGAGGCAGCCCAGTGTCTTTCGGGCTCTGCTGCAAAATGTCCGGCGGCCCCGGTGCTGCTCCCGCACCGGCCCCGCCATGGAGTGAGTCGCTGCCCGTGCTGGCAGGGTGGGGGTGCCAGGGGGTTCTCTGGGCAAGTGAAGATGGGTCCCTGCCCCGCTGTCCTGAGACACCTGGTGCCAGTGTGTGCGGCTCCTGGGGCTGAGACAGGGGGTGGTGGAGCACTGCATGCTGGAGCAAGGTATCTCCTTTGCTGGGGTCCCTCCTGCCAGCCTGGGGTCCCTCCATGAGTGCAGCCTCATGGAGGTGCCCCAGAACGTGAGGCTGGTGCCCTGTCTCTGTGTTTGGTGGCTTTTTTCAGCACAAGGAAGCACGTGGCTCCTTCCAGATGGAGGCAGCTGCTCCCGTGCATCTCCTGCCTGTGGCACACGTCTGGAGATGACTCAGGGTGGGTGCTGCTGACTCCCATGAGCTCTGGCACCCCAGGCAGCAGCATCACTTCCCGTGCTGGAGAGACGCTGGTGCATCACCCTGCCATCGATTTGCCTGCCCAGGGCCATTCCTGGCCACACTCTGACCAGCCCATGGCCATGCATGTGCAAGTCCCCACAGCTGCCCAGGGCAGGCACCAGCCCCAAAACAGCCCTGTCCTCTCTGCCCCACTGCTGTGTCATGGGTGCCCTGGAGCTGGGAGGATGTGGCCATATAGGGCACTGTGACACATCTCAAACGGGAGAGACTGAGGCCAGCCATGCCTGTGATGGAGAGCCGCTCATCCCTATTGCTGTGGCTGGAGGCAGCTGGGGAGTCTGTCCCCATGGCTCCTCAGCCTGCCTGGAGGTGACCATCGGAGCCCAGGGCACGTCCTCACCACGGCTGGTGGTGGAGATGAAGCTGCCCTGCTGCCAGGCCCATCCAGCTGCCCTGGTGGTGCCAGAGATGCCCCACGTGCTGTGGACGTGGGCACTTGTCCCTGTGTGGGTTCCTTCAGCCCCACTGGCTGCTCTTCTCCGACGGCAGCTGGGGATGCAATGACTGCAAAGCGCTGCCACTTTTTACAGCTGGGGTTTTACAGGCTGGGGGGAGGGGGGCTTTTATTGAACTGTGTTTGCATTTTTGGAGCTTTTTAAGAGACACTTTCAGCCGTGTGTGTCCTGCCTGGAGCCACGTCTTTCCTGGTGGCCTGTGGGGCTGAGACCCTCTTTTCAAACACTGTTCCTACATGGCTTGTGCTCTGCTGGGCTGAAGAGCATTTGGAGTGAAGAATCAGTCTGCAGGGGTGAGCATTCCTGTGGCTGGGTCAACATCCCTGTGGCTGGCAGCACCAAGGTGTCCTGCTGAGACACAAATCCTGGCCCCCCCAGCCTGGCTCCATACCAAGGACAAGCTCCACAGTGCTGCAGCACCTGATGGGCAGGAGGCTGCTTGGGGGTGCTTGGGAAGCTGCACCATCCCCTCTGAGCAGAGGTGCAGGAGGGCTTGAGGTGCCAGGGTCACCAGCGCAGTCTTTTTCCCTCATTAAGGGTCAAGTCTTGCCCCTCCAAACCGACGTTGTACATGCTGGACTTGATTTTATTCCTGGGGGGCTGCAAAAGGCTTGCTGAAGTGCCAGCTGGCAGCCAGGGCCATGGCAAGTGCCCACTCCATGCCACGGTGCTCACCAGGACCTGGCTCTGCTCAGTGCCTTGGGCTGTGGGAGCGGTGCCATGGCCATGCCAGGAAGACCAGGAACCCTGGGGTATCCCACCCTACCCCAGTCTGTGCCCACCTCCAGCCCTGCACTGCCAAGCTGTGGCACACCAGCGCTGCAGCTTTATCACCTATTTTCTTCTTTTTTTCCTCTTCATTTCTTTTGGGGAGGGTGGGGGGGAGGAAGGGGGGGGAGGACCAGTCTGTCAATATGGATGTTGGGTAATAAAATCTTACAGAAATCTTTGCATGGGGCTGCCTGCACCTCCCTCCGCTGGGGCTGAGAGGGGCCAGTGGGGCAGCCTGGGGAAGGGTCCTGGGGACAAGAAGCCAGGCTGGGCCCCACAGTGCCACTCACTTCCCCTCTGGCACCAGCCTGGCACAAACCCAGCACTTCATGCTGGGAGAGATGACTCCAAGCTGACTGAGCCCCCCCGGAAGATGGGCTGATGGCCACACAACACCATGACCTCTCTGGAACAGGTTTATTGCCAGACACTGAACACATCATCACCAAAGCAGCTGCCTGAGTCCTGCTCTGGCCTGGCTGCACCCTGTGAGCCTGCTCACAAGTCTGTGGTGGTGAAGGTGTTGTTGATGTACGCTGTTTTGGTGGGCTCCTTCAGGTTCAGGGCAGCCACCAGCACCTCCTTGTCAGTGGCGTCTGTTGGCCGCACTTTGACCTGCTGCAAGTGGAGAGTGTGGTCAGAGGGGATGGGGGACAGAGAGGGGGAGAGGGACACTTGTCCTTCCCAGGAGCTGAGGGCTGTCAGGGGGATGCAGAGGAAGGGACACAGGGGGTCTATGAGCCTGGAGACCACAGCAGAGAGAAGGGGATGCTGGTTGCTCTTGTCAGGACTCCCTGCTTAGCACTGGCAGCTCTTTGCACACTTACCTTGATCTCAAAGTCATCATCCGCAGGTGCATTTACTGTGTTTTCATCCAGGGAATTCATGCTGTGGAGAGTGGAGGGTAGGGGTAGAAGAGGACCCAGGAGTGGTATGTCTCCAGGCACTGGAGAAGGGAGGGTGGAGGATGATGGCCCTGTGGCCTTTGGGACTTGCCCACAGAGCTCACCTGGTCACAGAGATGGAGTCCTCGTGGAAGCCCAGGTCGTGTGAGGGATCAAGTGGGCGGTTCAGTATGGGGTTGGCCCTGGTCAGGGATGGGTGGCAGGTGAGTGCTGTCCCCTAGGGCTCTGAGGTCAGCCCGGGCCAGCTGTGTCCCCCAGGCAGGAAGGGGTGTGACAGCGAGCCGTGCAAGCTCCTGGGTGTGGGCACGTGCCTGGGCTTTCCTGCTGCAGGGAGCCCCCCACTTACCCCTCGGCATTGTACTGGTTGGTCCCAGGAATGCCGGCTCCCTGCTGTGCTGTGGCAGGATTGAACGTGGTGGCCACCTTCAGAGCCTTCATCGCACTCAGCTTCCTTTTGTAGCTGCAAAGCCCGGGATGTGGTGGGTGAGAGGGGCAGGGGGAGCTGGACCATGGGATAAGGTGGCCAGGAGCAGGATGGAGCGTAGGGATGGGTCTGGGGGTGCTGGTGAGGATGGGGATGGTGGGGGGAGGCAGGAGGAGGTGCAGGCAGTGCGGTACCTCCTGGTGGTGAGAACCAAGACCAGGGTCATAATGAGTATGAAGATGAGCAGGAATGCTGCCAACCCTGCAATGATGCCGATCAGCTCCGTGTCCCTGGTGGGCTTTGTCACCTCCCCGGGGCCCTGGCACAGAGCAGGAGTGAGGGAATAGTCCCAGGCAGTGGAACCCCGCTTCTAGCCCCACCTGGTGTTGGTGCCCTCTCCCCATGCCCCTTGCCCGGCCCCACTCACGATTATGGCCAGGCCCAGTTTCACCAGCTCAGCCAAGCCCAGCGAGTCGGACAGAATGAGTCTGCCAAGGAAAGTGGAGGCATAAGCAGCTGGGCTGGGCCAGGCTCGTGGCAGTGCCTGTGCACAGCCCCCAGCACTCACGTGGTCAGTTGGTTGACATCTAGGGCAGTGCCATTGCTGTACACGAAGTACGCCTCCATCACTGACTTGGCTTCCACCCTGCAGGGTCACAGAGATGGGGTGGTGGGGTGCCAGAGTGCAGGGCATGGTGCCCTACCCCAGGCTGACCTCCCAAATGCCACCACCATGTCTTTTTCCCCTCTGCCACTCACTTGGTGTCACGGGTGTTCTCCACGGTTCGGATTGCCACCACATAAACTGCTGCCTTGGTCACAGAGGTCAGGGCCCTAGGAACAGGAGAGAGGGGGGGAAGCTGGGCCAGGTGTCCTGCTGTTCTGCTTGCGGGCATGGAAAGCAGCTGGACCGCCTGCAGCCCCCTCCTCTGGTGGGGACCTGCCTGCCCCACTCTCGTCAGACCGTGAAGCTGGAGACATGACCAGTGGGCCCTCGCCTGAATGTCCACGTTCCCCGCTGCACAGCAGTGCCCCCCCAACCCCAGCCTGGCACCCCTTACAATTTGATACTTTCGGAGTTACTCTGGACATCTTCCACCGTTGTCATGAACTGTAGGCGAACGCGGTAGGTGTTATCCACGGTGAAGATCTGTGTGTGGAGAGCAGGGGTGAGCGGGGCTGGGCAGGGCCCAGGGTGCCCCAGGTTTGGGGGGTGTGAACTCACATTTAGCACAGTCTGTGCTGAGTGCACTGGTGCCTCACCATCGCGAGCCTCCACTGTCACCTGGTACTGCCCCTTCAGCGATTCATCGAGGTTGCTGGCCACCCTGTGAGGACAGGGACATCAGCAATCCCGCTGGGCTGCACAGGATGTCCCTGTGATGGCACTGCCATCCTTCAAGCTCCATCCTGCCTCCATGCCCAGGGCAGGACCCCAGGATGGCTTTGTCCCCTTCCCAGCCTGTGCTGGCCCTGCAGCGGGCAGGAGCTAAGCCACATCCCCCCACCCGAGCCCAGACCCATGGCCTCACTGGATGCTCCCGATGTAAACCCCTTGGTCAAGCGTTGTCACCACCCTGAAGAGGTTCCCGAAGGGCCGGCTGACCCCATTGTCCTCCAAGAAGACCACACTGACAACTGAGAAGGTGATGGTTCCTCCCAGTCCTGAGTCAGCATCTGTGGCCTGCAGGGACAGAGCATGGCAGGAGCACGGGTGGGAATGGCCACCAGCTGCCCACAGTGGGGATAGGTAAGCAAGGTTCAGTAGACTGACAGACAGATGCAGGCAGCTCCTCACCTTCACAGTAGCCACTTGCAGGTCCACAGGGGAGATTTCAGGAACAACCACTGCCAGGGACAGACAGAGGGATGGTGCCGTCATGCCAGGCTTGCTGCAGACCCCATGCCCACACAGCCCTGGGGCTCCAAGCACCCTAACCCTTGGCCCCAAAGCCTTCATGGAAACACTGAGTAATCCCAGCCTGGTCCCTGCACCACTCACAGCCCTGCCCCAAGCTGGGGGAAGGTCCTCGCTGCCAGCAAGTGTGGCAGAGCATGTACAGGTGCAGTGAAGAGCCCATGGGATGAACCACCCCTGACTGCTCACCAAAGGTCTCCGAGATGGCCTGGAAGACCGGTGTGTTGTCATTCACATCAGTAATGAGGATCCTCAGGGTTTCTGCAAATGTCCCAAAAGCAGAGCTCCAATCACCAACAGAGCAGCCCTGCAGCACCCTCCTCTGCTTTCCTCAGGAGCTCTTAACTCCCAGAAAGCTCAGGGTCCTGCAGCAGGGATCAAGAGAGCTGGGGACACCCTCTCCCATCACCAAACTCTCCAGCTCCTGCCCTTCTCCCCAAAGCTTCTCCTGGGAGGTGGGAGAGGCAGGTCCCACCACCCACCATGCCCAGTGGTGGAGGAAGGGACAGGGAGGGGGGGCCCTACCGTTCTGGCTGTAGCGGTTGCCCTTCTCAGTGTACAGGTCCTCAACCCGCAGCGTGAGCAGGACCCTGTCACACACCTCGTAGTCGATGTCCGAGCTGTTGACCAGCAGGGAGCCGTTGTGTGCCAGCACGAACCAGTCCCCACACACATCCCCAGCA